CCAAAATAGTATAGGTAATTACTTAGGCTTCTACATTACTTCAGCAAGACCAGAAAGGAAAAGAGTTGTCGCAACGTGCCACCTAGACCCTAAACCCTAAATCCTAAACCCTGAACCCTGAATCCCAAACCCTAAACCCTAAATCCTGAACCCTAAACCCTAAATCCTAAACCCTAAACCCTAAATCCTAAACCCTAAACCCTAAACCCTTAGAAACCTACCCCACCAAAAGACCCTGGACCTCCCTACGCCGCAACTTGCTAAAGGCTCGAAAAGAACCAGGAGCATCTAAGCGATCCCAAAAAAGGGGCTTCAATATTGAGACTAAGGTTTTGCGGGGAAAAATTCTACCTATTGAGACTAAGGTTTTGCGGGGAAAAATTCTACCATAGGACTTCTGCCACCCTAAACAGCTTTGAAGACATACATAGCAGAGTAACACACACTAGCACACGCTTCACAGTTCACTCAAGGCACACCCTTTTTGGACCGGACGCACAATGGTGTGAGAAGGACCCAGGCAGGGTCCCATCACACACGACACTGTCCACACACCTCCGTCCCTAGACGGCCACTTGGGGCCCAGAATGGCCCATATGGCCCTCTCGGGGCGGGTGGGTGGGTTTTTTCGTGTGAACCGAGGTCGGCTCGGCACTCCACACTCAACACTTGCTGCGGGCAAGCTGTGGACTAACCCATAACACACATGACGCGGTTGCGTGTGAGTGTTCGCCGCATGCACTTGGTCGAGTGTCTGTGCGTGCAAGCGTACAAACACACACTAGCACACGCTTCACAGTTCACTCAAGGCACACCCTTTTTTGGACCGGACGCACAATGGTGTGAGAAGGACCCAGGCAGGGTCCCATCACACACGACACTACTAACCCCAACCAAAAGGGTGACCGGCAGCGGCAACAGAACGATTAAGGGGCCCATGGAGCTCGCAGAAGCCCATTGACGTCAGGCTCCTGCCTGTATGAAGCCTGCAAGAAGTCCGGAACACGTCCACGGCTCAGCTCATCCGCCACAGCATTGCGCTCGCCTGCAATGTGAGAGACCTGCAGTTGAAAACGGTAACGACAAGCCCAATACCCCGTGCCTGCAAGACGAAACAGAGAGGTTCCTTCATGGACAACATCTTCACGGAACAGGCACTCACTGCCTGGTTGTCGCAGAGTTGCGCAAGCTGCACTAGGCAGAACCCTTCAGGGAGATACCCAGACTCCCGCGCACGCAAGGCGACCAAAACGAGCTGAGCAAGAGCCTCGAAGGCTGCAACACAACCCTGAAAACCAGAACCTCCAACGCAGCGAAACCAGGCAGGCAAGTCCCGCGCAGAGAACTGCAAACTAAACCATCTAGCCTGTGACATATCGCCATCTGCGTCCGCAGGCAACCAAAAACCACCAATACCAGCGTGGTCGCGCGAAGCGAAGGCATCCGCAGCACATAAAGTAGAGCAAGCTGGCGCGATGACGAGGGGAACATGCACCTGCTCCGAAACCGACCGAAGAAACAGCGTTGCAGTGAATGCGCAGTCAGAATTGGGCCGAACGAACCTACCCCCATACTCAAAGAAAACCAAAGACACCTGACCACCCTTAACACGCGGGCATTGCAGGGCAGGCGCGTCAGGAGAGCTGACCACGGTGTTGTTGACTGAATGCAGTTTCCAGCCCTGGAGGATGTCACAGGACGGAACACTGCCCTCGACGATGAGCCGATCGCTCAGGCGGTCTAATACCTCCTCGAACTGCTCAAGGTTCACGAGACGGCAGGTCGTCAAAGGCTTGTGCAGCAGCGAGTAAAAAGTTTGCAACCAGGGCCGCAGCCACACAGCGCCACAAGTAAACCATAACAAAAGCCCAAGCAAGCGCTCCAAGTCCTTGCGCAACATTTTCACCCCTGAGCGCACACACCTCTCTGCTTTATCATCGGGCAGCACGGCAGTGGAAGAATCAAACTTGAACTTCCACCCAATCCAAGAAAGCTGCTGCGAAAGTTTCAGCTTTTCCCAACTCAGCGGGACGCCCATACCGCAAAGTAGCATGAGACAGGTGGCCGCAACCAGAGGGGCCACACTTGTCGGCACAAGCAAGATGCCATCATCTACATAAAGTAGGAGCCCGTGTGGGATCCTGACGAACTGATGCAGCAACCTTACCAGCAACCCCCTAGCCGAGAAAACCAATATGCCGCCCAACGGCAACCGAAATAGCAAGAACGGTAGCAGTACCACTTTTCTTGTGAACCGAGGTCGGCTCGGCACTCCACACTCAACACTTGCTGCGGGCAAGCTGTGGACTAACCCATAAGACACATGACGCGGTTGCGTGTGAGTGTTCGCCGCATGCACTTGGTCGAGTGTCTGTGCGTGCAAGCGTACATGAACAGCACAACCCCAAGCACTGCACAAGAGCAATTTCAGGCCTATTGGTTACAGCATACGTGATGGTACAGGGATAACAAGGTCCAGTTTAACCCCTGCCTTAACCTACCAAAACCCACTTTTTGGAAGGTTCTTATTATAAACCCTAATTAATAAAAGTAGGTTTTGGGTTCTTAATAGGTAAACTCCAAACCCTCAACCCCAAACCCTAAACCCTAAACCCCTAAACCCTGAACCCTAAACCCTAAACCCCAAACGCTCAAACCCCAAACCCCAAACCCTAGACCCTAAACCCCAAACCCCAAACCCTAGACCCTAACCCCAAACCCTAAACCCCTAAACCCCTAACCCTAGACCCTAAACCCTAAACCTAAACCCCTAAACCCTCAACCCCAAACCAAAAGCACCGCTTCCCGTCCGGCCTGCGCACTTCCTGGTCGGCACGCTTGGCGAAGGACTGTGCAGCCTGTTCTGAAGTTCGCAGGCTTGGTGATTTGATTTAGGGGTTTGGGGTTTGGGGTTTAGGGTTTAGGGTGTAGGGTGTAGAGTTTAGGGTTTAGGGTTGTTTAGGGTTTAGGGCTTAGGGTGTCGGATTTTAGGGTTTGGGGACGATCAGTTTTGCGGTGTAAAGCGGTTCAGAGGGTGCGGGATGCGGGGATTCAGGGCTGCAGGTCCTTCGTTTGGGACTTGTGCGACCCAGACGTCTAGGGGTCAGGATACACCCTACCATAACCTACCAAAACCCCACTTTTTTGTAGGCTCTGATTATAAACCCTAGTATGGGATGGACCCTACAAAAAAGTAGGTTCTGGTGGGTTAAGGTAAACCCTGAACCCCAAACCCTAAACCCTACCGAAGATGAAGATGAGGGGTCTCTTCATGCTGGGCTGTACCTTGATCCTAGGATTCAGCGGTTCATGTTAAGGTCAGGGCTTGGGGCGCAGTAGTCTTGCAGTCGCGGTTCAGTTCATGGTTTAGAGGGCCTATGGCCCCCTAAACCCTATGTAAAGCCCCTGCGGCTTGGGTTTAGGCTTTAGGGGTCTAGGGAAACAGTTTTCCGGTGTTGCGATTAAGGGCCTTGAGGATTAGTTGGGGTTTGAGGGCTCCGGGGCTCGGGGCCACACCCGCACTACCCATACCTCACCACCGAGGCAATCCTAAAGACATCTATCAGTTCTGAACTCGGACTTAAAGGCTTAAAGCCCCAAAGGGTCCTATGTACTGTTACGGGGGAATCTTCCCTAATTCATAATCGCAGTTCCTAGTGTAGAAACCCTACATTCCACTATATAGGCACATAGAGGACCCTTTGGGAGCTTGAGAGCCTTTTAATCTGTGGTCATTCGACACCGTTTTCTTCTATCGGACTTCGGGGGTCCAGGTATGCCACAGCTACCCATGCAACAAACGATCTGCTTAGCCTTCAATCCAGACCTTTCGGAACTCCCTGCTGGCCCTCATGTAGGGGCCTGAATGGCTTAGAATGGGGTTTGAAGTGCTACTATGGTATAGCCGTATAACTGTACAAGGATCATGCTTCGATATGTTCTTACCTAGGTCGGGCGTTAAAAGCCTTTGAAACTAGTTTCACTCGTAAATAAAATCCTTTCAATAAGGGCAACTAGAAAATAAAGTCACAAAGGCCTACCTTGTAATTAATGCGGGCCTCAACGTCATTCCCTGCTGATTTCTACTACTGCGCGTCCTTGTGGATACCAAGCCTTTCCAGGACAAAAAAGCACCTCGGATAAGTATAGGGGGATAGGGCTTCGGGTTTAGGGTGTTGGGGTTTAGGGTTAGAGGTTTAGGGGTTTAGGGGTTTATTGGTTAGGGATGGGGTTTGGGGTTAGGGCGCCAAGCTTTGGAACACAGGGGCCGAAAGCGGAGAGAACGGGGTTTGGGGTTTAGGCCCAAACACAACAGAGGGCTTTCCTAACCCTTCAACGGGCTCCCCGAAAGTAACGTAGGGGCCGTAATAATTAGAATAGGGTTTTGGGGTCCATTATACTGTAATTATAGTGAGGAACCCCCAAAATAGTATAGGCAATAAGGCCCCTATGTTAGAGTTTAGGTTTTAGGTTTTTTTCGGAAGTGTTTGGATGGCACGATCCATCTTGCAGGGAATATAAGGGCGTTAATAATCAGCATAGGGTTTTGGGGCGCCCATTATAGCATAACGATAACAAGAGACCCCCCAACATAGTATAGGTAATTCTTAAGGCCCCCCATAGTATTCCGTCCTCCCGTACTGCTGACCCCTGGCCTTGGTGGTGACGGTCGTGACTGTAGAAATTTCAAGATGGGTAGTTGTCAAAATTAGGGTCCCTTTTTGGCTACCCTAAATAATAGGTGCCGCATTA